CCATGTCGTATTTTTCTTTTTTGGGGCATAGACTTTTCTCATTTTGCTTTAAAAATGCTGTTTATGGTGCTTTTTGAGGTGTAGAGTTTTAGGAGATTGTTATTAACTCTAAGGGGCTTTCCTGTTTTGGTTTCCTCTTTTCCTGTTAACACTAGACAGGCCAAGCTCGGATCAAGTTACTATTCATCTGTATCTTCCTCCAGTAGGTTTATCATTTAATTTTTTTCTCATAGTTAATGCAGATTCGTCAACAATATTTTTAGTATGTGGTATGAAAAATGGATCAAACTTTTGAAATATTTTTGAAAAATTTTAGCAATAGTTTTTTCAGCCAAAGGAAGCCAATACGCCTTCCAGAAAACATCTTGCATTTAGATTTGCAGAACTGTTTAGATTTGCAGATCTGTTATGGGGGTTATTTGCAATGGTTTAGGGATGCCTTCCTTTTGATAGAAGACTTCCTTGACAATTATCACATTCATAAATCTTTTAGAGTAATCATGGCCATCAGAAACCTGTGAATGGTATACTTTTAGGGGGTCAGAAGTTCATATAAACATTCCAAGATAGGAAGGCTAATGTTAAGGTTTTGACTCTCAACAGAAATGGGCTGTGTTACAGGCCTTGACCTAAAGTCATGTTACTCTCTGGCTGTGTACACATTCCACACGAGGTCTTATCCGTATGGAAACATTGCAGAGCTATGTTTTAAATTGGTACTTTCAATCTGAAACCCTTGCTACTCAAACTTTGGTCTATGTCCCAGTAACTTTGGTATCCACTAGTAGCTTGTGAAACAATGTGGATCCCCACCATATACTTCTGAACCCCTTTAAACCTCAGAGACTCACTTGTATTTTATTTTTTAAAAAGCCACATGTGGGTTAAGATTGGAGTTGGAAGTAGTGAGGCAGCTGGAGGGATTGGGCGGGACTGGCCAGTGCCATCTCATGTGTAATGTCTGTGCATGTCTCGCATGTTTGCTGCATTCTCCTCAGCAGACACACGGGCTTTGTCGTACATCTCAGAGTGAATCCCTTGTTATAACATTGCCTGCGCAGTCCACCTCTTCCCCTCATGTCTCTATCAGTGAGGTACTTTCTCTAGAAAAGTAGTATACATAGTCAGGAGGTTTGTACATCACTACAAGATGTCCAGAGGCTGGGGTGGTCCCAGGATTAAATCAGTGGCTCTGGATGACCTTAAGGGCTCTGGTTCTTCCTATCTTTCGGTCTCATTCTCCTTAGAGGATGTCAGCTTTTCTTTAGAAAGATTCCCGCAGTTGCAAGATGGTTACTGGAGCTCCAGGCAACCCCACACAGATATAACTATACCGCTGTGTCTAGAGGTAGGGAAATTTTCCTCAGAAATTCCCCAGCAAACTTCCACTGGGTCTCAGTGGCCAGGGTTTGTTTGCATGTGCATAGGAGTCTGGGGAAAGAAATGTTGGCACATCCATTTGCCATAGCAGAAGGTGAGCTGTGTCAGAAAAGAGTGGTGATGAAGGTCAGGGAAATGAGGGGCCCGTAGGAAGACAGCTGGAGTAGCTGTCACCGCAGTCTTTCAGTTTTTCATTCTTGTTGGCCATGTTTCCTCCATATGTATTTAAATAAAAACAAAAACAAAATCTCAAATTCCTAAAGGAAAGAACTTACTGGCTTAACTCACAGTTTTTAAACTAAGTCCTGGTCCATGCAAAATAAATCAGAATTAAAGGTTTTTATTTTAACTTTGCACAGCTATGGATTAGCTGTCCGGGGAAGGATCAGGTGACTCTCAAAGGCCCATCAAGGATGGCCAGAGGGGCAGGAGCATGCGGTAGGAAATGTGGTCTTCCACTGTTACTGCTCCTCAGATGTGGGTGAGCCACAAGACAAATGGGCTGCGAGGAGACAGTGGTAGGTATGGTTGGTAGGACAGATAGAACACTAGTCCCAGGCCCTCTCTGTCTTTAGGGGATGGGGCACCCTTGGTCTTAGTGCATCATTGTAGGCAGCTCTGTCTCCCTGGAATGAGGCTAATTCCTTCTCAGCTGGGTCTTGGCAGAGCTGAAACAGGAACCCTGTTGGCCAGGGTTCACTATCTGGAGATGGGTGTAAACAGGCCAGACTCATCCTAAAGACCAAGTAGACGGGCTAGCATTGTGGTCCAGTGGTTTAAGCCACTGCTTGCAATGCCTGCATCCCATATCAGAGTACCAGTTCAAGTCCCGCCTGCTCTGCTTCTGATTCAGCTCCCTGCTAATGAACCTCAGTAGTCAGCAAAGATGGCCCAAATTTTGGGCCTCTGACCCACATGGGAAGCCAGGATGGAGTTCCTGGTTCCTGACTTTGACTTGGCCCTCCCTGGCTATTGTGGCCATTTTGGGAGTGAACCAACTGATGGAAGATTTCTTTGTGTCTCTCCCCACCTCTCTCTGTAACTCTGCCTTTAAAATAAGCAAGTAGATTATTCTTTAATGGCTAAGTAGATTAGATTTACCCAAGATTCAGTGGTACTGGGTTTTCAATGAGTATTCAAAGCTCTGGAGCCTAAGGTGGTGCTCTGCCCCTTGAAAATAAGTACAATCATCCCTTGGTATCTATTTTGAATCACCTCTAAATTACTTACCGTTCCTAATACAGTGGAAATGCTACATAAATAGGTATACTGTAATGTGTAGGGAATGATGACAAAAGTCTGTATCTACTCAGTTCAGGTGCATTTTTTTCCTTAAAAATTTTTAATAAAGATTTATTTACTTATTTGAAGGGCAGAGTTACACAGAGAAAGAAGGAGAGGCAGAGAGAGAAAGGTCTTCCATCTGCTGGTTCACTCCCCAATTGGCCACAATGGCTGGAGCTGCGCTGATCCGAAGCCAGGAGCCAGGAGCTTTTTCCAGGTCTCCCATGCAGGTGCAGAGGCCCAAGCACTTGGGCCATCTTCTACTGCTTTCCCAGGCCATAGCAGAGAGCTGGATCAGAAGTGGAGCAGCTGGGACTTGAACTGGTGCCCATATGGGATGCCGGCACTGCAAGCAGCGACTTTACCCGCTACGCCACAGCGTCGGCCCCCCTGAATATTTTTGATCCATGGGTTGTTGAAGCCACAGATACAGAGGCTAGCTGAATAGTAGGGAGAAGTGGACTCCAGGCCTGGAAAGGCATGTGGGGGCTCTCCAAGCTGAGGGCACCCTCTGAGGTTTTAGGGAGGCAAGGAACAAAGGGTCTGTATTCTCTCGGTCTAGGAGCAGTATCTGTGTCTGGATTGTCCACCTGGAAAGTTGGAGGATAAAGCTCTTTAAAGGGACATTCCTGGAGTCTAAGGGGAGCTGGGGCCTGGCCTGCAGGCAGGTATCAGTGAGGTTGCCCTGCCCTTTGGTGCAGCAGAACAGCATTATTCTCAGGAGGAAGGAAGGTGGTCTTTCATGTTTGGGAGATGGGGCCAAGCTCAGGGTCAGTGCTCACAGAGGATGAAGCTGAGGTCCTGGGTAGATGCCTGAGGAATCTTTGTTGTGATTGGAATGGAACCAAGTTCCAGAAAGGGGCAGCTTCCTTCTCCCTGCACCCCTCATCCACTCCACCCCCAGCGTTTGCTGCAGTGAAGTACAGCATGTGATACCCTCAAGAGAGTGTGGTTGTTTCAGGCAAGAAACTCTGAACCTCACCAGATGTTCCTGAAGGCCAGGAAGGAGAGAGGTGCCGTCAGCGGCCCTGACATGTCCCATGGGCAAGAAGGAGCTGGTGTCACTACAACCACCGACTGGATTTTGGCTGGGCTGTGAGCGGGGCTTTTCCATGGTCTGGAAGAGGTGTCTCTACCCCTCTACATCTACTTGGCTTGACTGGGTGGAAGTTTTTAGGGGATCCAGGGCTAGCCTGGAGCCCATAAGAGATTAGTGAGCCAGATTCACATGAGCTGTACAGGCTGGAGACAACCACCAATCTGGAGGGAGTAGACCCAGCCTAGTGCAAAGTGTCGATAGTGGCTCAGGTCTTTGGGTGATGCTCAAAAGATACCAGAGCCTAATGAGTGCCCAGAAGGAGTGGCTATGAATGCTTTTCCAACAGTCTGGTACATACTCCCCAGCCGCCCATCTGTCTGGCTGCTTTAATATGTTGGATATGGGCCAATAGGATCCTTGGTGAAGGTCCAAGGTGAAGTCCAAGAAAGGACAGGCAAATCTAGCAACAGCAGCTGAGTAAGAGCAAGTCAATGCAGCACTCAGATACTGGGGTGGGGGCAGCGCTTGGCAGGAGAACCTATAGAGATGCTGTGCTTGGGGTTCCTCTTTGGAGCTAGGGAACCTGGAGGAGGCTGGGCCACCCAGCAGGAACCCAGGCTTTGCCTTGCAAGGTTGCAGGTGTCCTGATCAGAGTGCTAGGATAGGTGTGAGCAAACTGAACCACGGCAAGGCAGCATAGAAGGCAAGGGTGTGTTAAAAGGCCAGGGCTGTACCCTGCCTTGTCCACTAACTTGTATGTGGCTTTGGGTGGACTTCTGCCCTCTGGGACTCAGTGTCTATTGGAACTGGCAGCTGAGTTTGACAAAGTCTGCAAGATCTGACATTCCAAATCTGCAGTTTCTTCTAGGGGCTGTGCACAGAGGCCTCTTTGTAACTACCAGTCTTTGCTTCTCTCAGTCCAGGCCTCTTGGTTTCCAAAGTGGAGGCAGGTTAGGAAGCCTCTGTAAGTGCCGCTGCCCCACATCAGGGCTCAGCTGAGGCTCCTACCTCAAGAGCAGTGAAAAGGCCTGTCCTGAATGGGTAGCTTCCCTCGGGCCCTGCCAGGCTGGAGAAGAGGCCCCACCGAGGGTGTGTACTCACCTCTCACATCCCACCACTCAGCTCAGGTCCCTTCTGTTACCTTTTTAGCTAGTGTTTTAAGGGACAAAGAATGAGAGGAGGGACTGTGGCCACCCCACTCCTCAGCTGCAAACCACCCTGTCACAGATGGTGGCTTCTTCAGCTCCAAGCTTCTCAAACAAAGCACATGCGTTCCTGCCAGTCAGTCGCACTCTTTCATTCTTGCCAAAGAGACAAATCTGTTTACCATATTGAAAAGCCAGAGGAGCTGGGAAAAAACAGGTGGGGAGCTAAAGCTGTTTTATGAATTATAAAATGTGAGCTTGAATTTTCCTTGTCTTGTGATTAATTTCTGTATCTCCATTCTTCACCTAGGGTGGGGAACAAAAAGAAAGAAATATATATATATATAACATTTTAATCCCCGAAAACTACAGACAGGAGTTGTGTAAGAAGACCTTTCCTCTGGATCTTAAACAAGATAAGAGGAAATTGGTGCCTATTTTTTGAGAAAAGAACAAAAGTAGAGCTCGAGTTTGCAAATGTCTAGCATGTTTCCTACCTGTCCCTATGACAGGTGTTAAAACTGAGGGCTTTCTTTCCCAGGCAAGGCAGAAGCCGGGGCACTTTGTCCCTGTGCAGTACTGAGAGAAGCCACTAGATGGGAGTCACGGACAAATGCTGGGAAGTTAAATCCCAAGCAATAAGGTAGAGGCTTTATATAAGAAAGTAGCTTTTTCCCTCTTGCCTCTCTTTTTTAGATTAGAAAGATGACATAAGCACCTCTCATTGGTGCAGCTGGGTCATCTGGGAAAGAGCTCTTTCCATTCTTGGAAAGCAGTGGACAAAGCACAGGCAGGGGGAGGCCTCCACTGTTTGGAGTTGGGAGAAGAGACAGGGAGGGCTGAGTGCTGGTCCTGGGAGCACAGACCTGACTTTCCATTGTCCACGGCAAGAAAACCTCTCCAAACTCCTGAGTGCAGTGCCTTTGGGTGCCAGTGGGCAGTCTGTCCCCCTTCCAGGAGGTTATTTCCTGGCCCAAGTATCTGCCAGGCTCTGCCCTACAGAAGCTTCCTGTGCCTTGGAGGATTTTCCATTCATTTTCTTTTTTTTTCTTTTTTTCTTTTTCATATATAGCAGCCCAGATTTGGGGCCTTTGGCCACTACAAGTTTAGTAATTTTAATTTTCCTGGATTTTTATTTTTTTTCCTCCCAAATTGTGACCTATTAAATTCTAGTGACCTGGGTTCTTTCAGACCTGACCTAAGGAGACTACTTCAGTCTGTTAAGAACCAGTGTTTATAAATGACCGCGAATGTGCAAACATTTGTGAAAGAGCAAATAAATCCTTCCCCACTAAATTTCCTGCTTCAGGCCCAGGAGACATGGTGGGCAGTGTTGCCAGGTTAGCATAACTTGAGGTCTGAGCATGTAGACATCCACTCACCACACCACCGAAAGCCTCTGCCCTTTCAAGCACTCCTGTTAAGTGGCAGGCAGGTGGGCTCTGGGGAAGTCATGCTTTTTGGCACTTATTCAGTTCTGACCCAACAATCCAAGGCCCACCTGAGAGCAGTTGCCTACCCTCTTACTACTCCAGCAATGGGAGCGATACCTGGGAGCTTGGTAGCAGTGCACAATGCCAAGTCCCATCCCCAACCTACCGGGTCAGAATCTGCTTCTATACTAGAAACCCCTCCAGCCCAGACAGTTCATTATAGGTGGGAAAGCTTTGTCCTGACCCAGGAGTTAGCAGACTATAGCCTGCATTTGCTTAGCTGCCTGTGTCTTGCATCCCAGCTGTTAATAATGATTTTTACATTTTGAAGAAAAGTCACAAGATGATCTTGTGATGTGAAAATGCTGTAATACTCAAATTCCAATGTTGATAAATAAAGGTTTGCCGGAACACTGTCACACCTGTCCATGTAGATGTTGGCTGTGGCAGCTTTTGCACTGTAAATAGCAGACTTGGCTATGACAGAGATTGCATGAACCCCTGAGCCTGAAATATTTAACATCTGGCCCTCTATGGGAAAAGTCCGCCGACCCTTGTCCTAACACATTTTGGAGGTTGGGTCTCCAAGTTTGGGCACTGTGGTGACCAGGATATGACTTCTTGGTCAGGGCTTCATGCACTGGGCTCTTGCCTCCCCCCTCCCTCTTCTCACTAGTGCAAGGCCCATGGGGCAGCACATCTGCCCAAGGACACAGGCCTGTGTTGAACCTGCAGGGAGGTGTCCCGGGAGCTATCGCTGTGGCCCAAAGGCCAAGGCTCAGGGCTGAGTGGAGACTAGGGTGTGGGTGATAGGTCAGCAGAATGGCACGTGACCCACAAGACTTCTCTCAGTCCACAGTCCTGCCTGCTGACACGCAGCAGGAATAAACCTCAGGGACTCTTCCTCAACCAGTGCCAGCAGCACCTGGAGTTCCACTCAGGTAGGTGACACGCCTGGGGCTCTGTTCCAGACCCAGGATGGGGGAGGGGCAGGTCACCATGAGTCCCTCTGTCCAAACCTGACCGTGGCCTCTTGGTTGTGCTGTTTCTCCCAGGACACGGTCTCAGCTTCTGCCCTTTGCCCTCAGCCGGCTGCCTCATGCTCTAGACGGTGCTCAGTGGAGTCTGGGTGCAGATGAGTGGATCTCAGGGTCACTGTGACTGTACCCTGTTTAGGTTTCTGAGGATTCCTCTTCAGAGATGGCTTTCCGAGATGCCCCCTCACAGGAGCAGGGTGACGGAAGCCTGAAGCCCTCCGTCCCTCCTCCCCCACAGGAGGGGCAGCGCTAATCTTTCAGAGAAGCTGCTTAGGCAAGATAAAACCCAGGCTTTTCAGTTCCTGGGAATCAGGGGTCATCTTGAGAATCTGATGAAAACTCTGTTTTCACAGAAATAGAGATTTGTACAGACAAATAGTACTTTGTGTCTGTTTTGTCAACATCTTCAGCAACCTACCCCTAAAGCCCATCTGTGGACCACCAGGAGGAGCCCCTGGCCAGGACGGCCTTGCAGGAGAGCGTGGCACAGCTGTGAGGTGGCCTCTCAGCGTGACGGGCGAGTAGAACCGGGTCCGGGTGCTGAGGTGCCTTTAGCTCCTGAGTTCATTGCATCTCCTTCTCCCCACCCTTCTCCCTCCTGCCAGCTGCACAGATGGATGGTGCTGCTTTGCTCCTAGAGCTTTAGAGTGTTATGTTGTGGATTGCTGAGTTAAATTATAATATAAATGTACTTTGGTGTTTAAAAAAAAAAAAGGCTGAAGTAAGAATTTCTACTTGAGGATACCCTCAAAATATGTGAAGAATTCAGCTCGCCCTGATTGCCTCCCTCGCTGCTCCTTTCCCTTTCCCTCCCTCCATGCCTCCGCCCTTTGCTCCTCACACAGGAGTTGAGCTAGGAGATGCAGCTGGCCCCCTCTTTCCTCTTGGAGTGAAGCATCTTTTCCCTGGGGAAGCAGACCTGCAAGTCTCTGTTTTCTCCAAGTAAAATCTGTTTCCACTTGGCCAGTCATACCATTTGAACCTCATTCTTTCATTCAGAGAATATTTAAGCTCCTACTGTGTACCAAGAAACTGTGCTAGGCATGGAAATTAGAGAAGTGAGTCAGAAATTAGACGCACTTGGCAGCAGTCAGATGTGACAGCCGTCGGCCATGCTTCAGTGTCAGGGCAAGAGGTGGAGCGAAGAGGAGAGTGGATGCCTAGGAGAGGGTAGGGGGGGATCACTTGGGAAAGCTTCCTGCAGGAGCTGTACCTGAGTCACTTCTGCAGGGCTGGGGCAGGCAGCAGGCTTGTGGTGGGCAGTCATGTGGCCACCTCCACACCCCTTCCTCCTCTCTTGTGCCAGAACCTAAAGAAGGGCCCTGAGCTCCTCCAAGGCTTTCTCCTACCCTCCAGGGACAGAGACTCCGCCCTCCTCGCCCAGCCCAGCCCCCACATCAGCTCCGAGCCTCCTTCCCTGGAGCCCAGGTATACCTTCATCACATCCTGTGTGGTCATTCTTTATTTACCCAGGGCAGGAAGTCGCTTTCATTTGCCTTGAATGCTAGGCACATGTGTGTTGACTGAATGCGTTACTTCATTTGACTTTCCCAGGCTTCTAGACAGAGAAGAGAAATAATAACAAAACATACCTCCCCCTGCACCCTGAAAGATGTTCTCACTGGCACATGATGTCGTGGCCTGGGGGCAGGGAGCCCCACTGGGTGAGTCCTGGTGGTGCCCTGGAAGTGGGCCAAAGGGAAGGAAGAGGTTCTGGAGCTCAGAGCCAGGGCAGCCCAGCCTGCTCTTCCCTCCCCTTCTGGCCTCTGAGCTGGGTGTGCCTGCAGGAATTTACTCCTCCCCTCATGCCAGCTGCTGGCCAGAGCTCCCCTCCCTGTGCCTCTGTGATCTCAGGGGCAGGGCCAGCCTGCCTGGACTGTGCTGCTGGGCATTGGGCCCTGCTTCTGAGCCATGCCGAGGGGCACAGTGGCACCTAGTAGCCTCCTCTTCAGGCTGGGTCTTCCAGGAAATGCCCTGGTCAGCCACGAGGCCCATGGCAGTCACAAGATGTGTGTCTGCAAGCCATTTAGGAGAGCAGAGCACAGGGCCCTTGCATGTAACCACAGCTGCCGCTGCACCCACATCAAAGCTCACTTTCGTAATCAGCCATTGCCAAGGGCCGCACACTAAGGGCCAGGCAAAGGAAAAAAGCAGTTTTTAGGGGAGCTCTCAAAGGAGAAGGGAGGGTGGAGGAGTGGGTGGTATCTGGGGATTGCTGGCAGTGGGGCACCCTGGAAAGCCAGCCTGTGACCTGCCCCCGCCAGCCGTTCTACAGCTCCTTCCTCCCCCAGAGCTGCTCCCCAAGTCTCGTGGAAACACACGTGCTGTCCACCTCCTTCCCGTGTAGAGCAGGTTTTCCAGGCTGAGAACAGCCAGAAGCAGTACCCCCTCTGGGTGCAGGGAGCCCTGCGGTGGCAGCTGCTGGCAGCCCTGCCGGTGGCGAAGGTCTCCGAGCTGCAGCAGTTGGCCTCTGGAGGACAGCGCCAGCAGTGCCAGGGAGAGCAAACCCCTGCCTGGGACCTGGCATACCACAGGGCCAGGAACCCGGACTTGGAGTTCCTTCTGAGTCTTCCTTTTTGGAAAGGACAGCTTTCCTCGGGGCACAGCCTGTTGCTGCCTGGAAGAGGGGTAGGCGCCGCTTCGGGCGGGGGGTCAGGCTGTGTGTGGGAACCAGCAAGCTCCTGCAAGAGCAGCACTTATTTTTAGTCTTCTCCCCAGTCCCAAATAAACTGAGAGCAGCTGGGAGCCCGTGGGTAAACGCAGAGTGAAGCAGAGACAGGAAATCGGGGGCTCTCGGTAATGAGTTCCAGCCACTCCAGCAGGGGGAAGCCAGACGAGGAATTTTCTTCAGGACTCTTTCCCTCTGGCAGGCTCTGGTATTATGGAGGGGAACGTTGTGTTTGTGTGTGTGTGTGTGTGTGTGTGTGTGTGTGCAACTTCTACCCAAGTCGTTCCCCCTACCTTCTTGTTCTGATTGCTCCTCGGGGCGCTGAACCCCAGTCCTAGGGTGTGTGTGTGTGTGCGCGCGCGCACGTGCCTGTGGGGGCGGTGGGGGAGGACAGGCGAGCGGCTCTGTCTGCCTGAGTCGTTGTGTATCTGAAACTGTTTAGGGAAAGGCTGAAGGACACAGGCCAGGGAAGTGGGGAAACTTGAACACAGCCTGGCGTTCCTGCGGGGGGAGGGGGCAGCGACAAGGAAGAGGAGAGAACTTGGTCTCCAGCCAGAACAAGGGCCTTTTCCACCGGCATCTAACTGCTGACATGGGTGCCCAGCATGGATGGGGACATTGATGTTTACAAGCATTTCTCCTGGCTGAAGAGGGTAAGTGACTGGCGGCTTTGTGTGGGTCTCCGTGGAGATGAGCGAGGGGAGAGACACTCTGGGCTGTGGGGTGTGTGTGTGTGTGTGTGTGTGTGGTAGGGGGAGCTATTTGTCCGGACTCATGAGAATCTAATTATAGGCACTAGGGCGAGAAAACAGGCAGCTGTCTTTGTTTCTCCACTGACAGTCTGGTGAATGAGCCTCTGTGCAGAAAGGCAAGAATGAAGTGAGGAAAGTTTAGTTATTTTCATGCTGCCGGTTAAGTAGTCGGAGACTCCAGACGACACTGTGACCGGGGGAAAAAGGTGTCCACTGCTTTTTGGTGTAGGGACCCAGAGAGGAAGCTGCAGCCTTTTACTACATGCAGAATTCGGAAGTTGTTGAACTCATTCTCAGCTCCGGTGTTACCCGGTGTGGTGGGGACGTCTGTGTTACCAGAGGAAGGCTCTAGGCCAGTTCTCTTCAGTGTTTTGAAGCCTAGGGTTTGGGCTGCAAGCTGCTGGTGTTTCTTTCGGGGGTGAATGTGAGTGTGTGGTCGGAGCGAGGAATGACCGACTGAATGAATGAATGAGTGCTGGGAGCTTGCTCACAGGACTCAGACTCTCCTTTTTTTTCTGGCTGCTGTTAAATTGGCTAAGACAGATTTGCATTTATTTTCACGCTGAGGAATTTTAGGCTGTTTTTCAGAGGCAGGAAAGGGCAAAGCAGCAGACAGCATTAGAGATTTGACCTTGTAACTGCGGCAGGACAGGAGGAAGGCCAGGGAGGATCGGGCTCAGGCAGGGGGTGCAGGTCCCCAGACCCCAGCTCCCAAACACTGGGCAGGATGGTATTTGTGTGTGCCCTCTGCAGAGCTTCCTCAGGAAATACTGAGTTCTGGGCACTGGGTATACAGTGGCGGGCAAAGTAGAAGCATTCAGGAGATGGAGGTTAAACAGTCCCAGGAAGTAAACCTCAGGTTACAAACCGGTAAGTGCAGACAAAGAGCAACAGAAGGCTCCGGACCGCTATTGATTGAGAAGGCAGGTCAGAGAGGGAGTCTCACAGAAATAGCAGTTCACGGAAACCCGAGAGAACAGGAGGAATGCATCAGGTGAAAAGCAGGGTGAAGAACCTTCCATGCAGAGGAGATGTTATGTACAGAGGTCCTAAGGCAAGAGGGAATCTAGCAGGTTTCAGGACGGGAAGAAAGCCGGTGTGGCTCAGCTCAGCAACAGTGGGGAGAGGTGGGCGGTGCCAGGCCATGCAGGACAGTGATGGCTGCAGCAAGGCTTGTGGGTGATGTGGCATGTATGATGGGGGACTTGTAGCAGGAAAGTGACTTGGGACACACTGGAGGGTCCGATTTTTGTGTTAAGAAAATTATCTTAGCTGTGATGTGGTATATGGTTAGCTATGTTAGGAAAAGTAAGGCAGCTAAACACAATTAGAGAGCTGGAGGACTTGAAGGGACCAACTAGTGCAAACCCCTCATTTAACAAAGCCCAAGAGAGGCTACGAACCTTGTTGTTATTAGTGTCATAGCTGTTAGTGGTGCAGCCTGGTCTTGAACTCTTTTGCCTGTCTCTCAGTCCAGTTTTCTTTCTTCACGTCCTCTGCCAAATATGTAGCAAATTATTGGTTCAGAACCCAGCAGCAACCCTGTGCATGCACTCCGCCCCCGCTTAGTTAGGGATGGGGACATCAAACCAGCAGGGAGCACGCTGAGATCACCAACATTTTGGCCAAGGTTTGCAAAATCTTAAGCTTTTAAAAGAGCCCAATGAGAGAGATACTAGGGAGAAGTATGTGAGAAATGTGCCTCCCACTATTTAGTCTTCCTCTCTCTCATCTAAAAATAAATAAATAAAAAAGAAGAAAAGAAGCAGCTATTAACTAACAGGTCCATTCAGCCACGGTATGCTTGCCAGATTTGGAGCCCTGGTTTCTATGGACAGTAAGAAGCTTGGGAGAGAAATTCTAAGCAAGGAGACTTTAGAATCCTCCAGGATGACTAATAGTAAACAGATATTTGTCTTCTACTTTTATAAATTTAAAAAGAAATTATTTGAGAGGCACAGAGAGAGGGGGAGAGAGAGCACACCCCAATTTGGTTTACTCCTCAAATGTCCACAACAGCCCCAGCCAGACTGGGGGGCTGAAGCCAGGAGTCTGGAATGCAGTCTGGGTGCCACGTGGGGCAGAAACCCAACTGTTTGAGTGATTACTGCCATACCCCAGGGCATAGTAGGAAACTGGAGTCAGGAGTGGAGCCCGGTCTTGAACACAGGTGATCAAAAATGGGAGGAGAGCCTCTTAACTGGCATCTTAACAAGCCAAACCTTTGGGAATTTTAAAGAGAATTAGTAGAAAGCAGAATAAAATATTGGACCTTGTTGTAAGCAGTGTGCTCTGGGTGTTTTTTTTTTTTCTTTTATTTAACCTCACTCTTTACACTACTGCCAGACTTAAATCTTCCTTAAAAAATAAAAAATTTCCCCTTTCATCCTGTAACCCTGATCATGAACCCCTAGGACTCACCCTTAGTCTGAAAGAGAAAACACAGGCTGCTCAGCTTGCTTAGCCTTTGAGAGCCTTTGTAACCCAGGCTCCACTGAACTTTTTCATTTTATCTTTCATACTTACTTGCTCGAGGTCCCGAGCATGCTCCCTCCCATTTGGGGGCTTGTAACCCAGAAGCCCTCCATCCTCCTAATTCCCATCTTAATCTGACCCCTTCAGTCTCGTCTCCTACTTTGCCATGAATCTCTTATTGGCTTCATCCCTCAGGGGGCTCCTCCAGCCCAGGTCTGCAGCATTTCCCATCTGTCTGACTCCCCCACCCCTTCTCACATGATTCCTTAGGGAGAGCAGGTTTCTCTGGACCCACATTTTTCAAGTGAAAACACTGTCTTCTTCATTCACCCTTACAGAGGGAAGTGAGTTCTAGGAGAAGAGATGCCTAGATGAGGTGTGACCTGGTGCACAGGGCCCCTTTGGTCCACAAAGACCCCCAGGCTGTGCCACCAGGATCCTTACTGGACTAGTTGAAGGGCAAGGGCAGGACCAAGGGGGAGGCACCTATATTTCCTATGTTTAGGGAGGCACAGAGCTTGAGGAGAAATATTTGCTCAGGAGAAAACCCAAGCACCAAAAAACACCTTCTGAGGCTTATGAGGGACAGGATAGTGTGTACTGTTACGGGTAAGAACACGCACTGTGGAGTGAGGCCAAATGAGAATCCTGGCTTTTCCACGTTTTCCAGCTACGTGATCTCAGGTAGATTACTTCAAAAGCCTGCATTCCTCTGTCTGTGAAATAGGGAGGATAATAGTGTCTGCCACGTACAGATTTTGTGAGAATTAAGGTAAAGCATGTAAAATGCTGAGTGTAGTATCATGCGGGTAGGAAACATCTGCTATTCAATGCTGTCGGTTGTTTCCAGGAAGAGGGGGAAGGATTGAAAGACCAAGAGGCAGGACAGGTTGGTTCTCTCCTAGCAGTGCATGTTAGCCTTTTCAGTCCCTTCCCATATTCCAACTCGATGTCCCAAACCCAGCATATAGAAGAGACAGCTGTAACCTGACCCCCGGTGGGTGGGTAGAGGCCCCATTGGCTCTGGACAGCTTGGCTGTGGTTGCTGGATGAAGCCTGGCTCCAGCCCATCCTTCATTTTATTCTCCTAGCAGATAAAGCCTTGGAACCAGGTAATTCCTGCCACATGTACCCCAAGGTCTTGGCTCTCTTGCATGTTTGGTTCCTGAGTCAAACAGCTCCCACCTGTCCTGCATTGAATTCAGTGGATCCAACCCACACAACCTTGAGAGAGTTTCTAAAAATAGCTCCCAGCAGGGTCTCTGGGGCCCACGCACTGCCCTCTGAGCAGGAGCTCATTTTCCCAGGAAAAGAAACCACAGCACTGTCTGCATCTTCACATTGCTCCCTGGCTTCCACCTCTGTGTATGTGTGTGTGTGTGTGTTTAAGCCAAATTCAAAACCTGATTCATGAAGAAAATGGATTTTCCATGGGTCCACCTTGTAATTGGCTCAGGTTCTGCAGTAGAATGTGGAATGAACTCAGGCTAATAATGTGGGATTTTTTTTCTTTGTCATCTGGTGCTGGTCGCTCAGGTGGGAAGACAAATAGCAGCACAAGCATCCTCACTCCAGATGTCACCTTGCGTTCATATTGAACTGCAGTGGATGCTGGAGAAGTAGGCAGTAGCTTCTGTGAAAGCTCATGGTTAAGAATACAGATCATAGATCCAGACTCCTTGAGTCCATTTCTTAGCTTTGTGTGACCTTGAACAACTTATTTAACCATCCTGAGATTCTGTTTCCTTGACTATCAGCTATGGATAAGTAATCCAATAAATGCAAAATGCTTAAAAAGCACTTTATAATTATGTTATGGGGCTGAGGACATCAGTCATGACTGACAACCCCTGTTACACCAGAGCCGTGCACACAACCTTGATTCTGAGTAGAAAGGTTTTTCAAGACTATACAGAGAGCAACAATGGGAATGGTTACTCAAGAGCTTTCTCTAGCTGTCCAGTTTCCTATGGGCATCTCCTATTTCTAGCCAATACACATCATGTGCCTACCCATCAGATTCCCCAATATAATGTAGAAGCTGTGAGTCTACCATTTCTGAGCCCTAGCACCTGTGAATCCTATCTGCAAGCTCCTTGAAGAGAGGTCCTTGGGCCTCTTTTACTTAGTGGCATTTAAGTACATGACATCATGTAAAGGTCATTTGCTGAATAGCTGGTTGAGTACCCAGGGAACACAGCCTTGGCAGTTGTGTGAGCTGGCAACAGGATCCTTTGCCTCAACCCCACATTCCTCTCTCTCATACTCTAGCACTTTTTCATGGTTTACCATTTGTTTCCAACCTTGTATTCCCTTCTCCATCTATGTGACTACCTATTTCACTGGAGAAAAAAAAATAACCAAATTAAGATGACTCTCCTATCTTCCCTCCCTTCACCCCAAAGTGTAGCTTTATTTACAGTATCATTTTTAAACTTCCTCTGTTCCACCAGCAAAGAGTCCCTTCTGTTAGTGAATATCCCAACATCCTGTTCTCTTGACCTAATTTTGTTCAGTTCCTCCTATCCACTGATTGTTTCTTCTCATGTTTTCTCTTTTTTTTTTTTTTTTTTTTTATCTTTTATTTAATGAATATAAATTTCCAAAGTACGACTCATGGGTTACAATGGCTTTCCCCCCCATACCGTCCCTCCCACCCACAACCCTCCCCTTTCCCACTCCCTCTCCCCTTCCATTCACATCAAGATTCATTTTCGATTATCTTAATATACAGAAGATCAGCTTAGTATACCTTAAGTAAGGATTTCAAGTTTGTTCCCACACAGAAACATAAAGTGAAAAATAATAGATAATTTTTTTTAAATGATGATGAAATCAGATCAGACCTATTGTCATGTTTAATCCCAGTGAGAGTCAAGTTGGGAATTGATAATTTCTTTCTTTTTTTTTTTTTTTTTACAGAAGATCAGTTTAGTGTACATTAAGTAAAGATAACTTTTTTGTGCCTAGTTGCCTCTTGACCTTGGAAATAAAGGCTTCTCCTTGATTTCTTAGGAGAGAAAGAAAAGCAACAACAAATCAAAACTGTCTATGACTTTGTGCTTTCCTCTTTTTTTTTCTTTTTTTCTTTCTTTTTTTTTATTTATTTATTTTTTTGATAGGCAGAGTGGACAGTGAGAGAGAGAGACAGAGAGAGAAAGGTCTTCCCTTGCCGTTGGTTCACCCTCCAATGGCCGCCGCTGCAGCCGGCGCACCGCGCTGATCCGATGGCAGGAGCCAGGATCCAGGTGCTTTTTCCTGGTCTCCCATGGGGTGCAGGGCCCAAGCACCTGGGCCATCCTCCACTGCACTCCCTGGCCATAGCAGAGAGCTGGCCTGGAAGAGGGGCAACCGGGACAGAATCTGGCGCCCCGACCGGGACTAGAACCCGGTGTGCCGGCGCCGCAAGGTGGAGGATTAGCCTAGTGAGCCACGGCGCCGGCTCATGCTTTCCTCTTCAAGCTGCATCATAACATCTCCCTTTCACCATTAGTGTTCCTGGAAAAGCAGTCTAAAATTCACCATGTGTACTCCTTTCTGCTCACTTCTAAACCCACGGCACTCTGTGCTTGTCCCCACAGTCAGCTTTAAAATTCCTTCTACACTGTTTTTACTGTGTCTACTTCCCAGGCAATCCTTCCCATCAATTTTCCCTTGAATTCATCCCCATTTGGGAATCTTGTCAGGTTGCTGGCATTCTTGTGTCCAAAGGAGTAGCTCCTCACTTTGACCCTGGCCTAGTTCTGTGTTCTCCAGTATTGGGTCTTTCTTGCCTGTTTGATTGTTGACTCCTCACATGGGAGATATAGGCAGTCTAAGAGGCACCAGACAATTAGCTCAAATGCCTCCAGGTGAGCTGCAATAGTCACCGTGCCCACGCCACCCCCAGTTCTAGCACTAGATGCTGCCACTCTGTCTCTGCAAATATCTTCAGTAATAATGAGTCAGTGTGTCTCTTGGAGTTGGCAAGGTGAGAAAACTCTTTAAAGAGTCTCCTCTTTATGCTCCCCTCCTAGCTTTAACATTTCCCATCACAGGATAGCAGCACACATAG